TTTGCAGTCCACATCGTGGTCATGGGCGGCCTGTGGCCGCCGCCGCCGCCGTCGCCGCTGCCGCCGCTGCCGGAAGCGCAGGGGGCGGTGCGGGGCGTCAAGTTGCAGCAGGCGAGGAAGCACGACAGGCTGAGGGAGCCGGTGCGGCATCATGCAACAGCGTCGTCAGCGCCGCCGCCAATGCAGCAGCAGCAGCAGGACGAGCCTTTGCCTGCCGCCGCCGCCGCGGAAGCGCGCGTCCGGGGGGCACTGGCCGTATCCCTTCTGGCCAGCCTGTCCCGCCTGCAGTTCTGCCGCCTGCAGCTCCCGCAGTACGGCGACCTCGTCCAGTCACTCGTCGCTGAGCTGGCGGCCAGCCGGGAAGCTGCACGGCAGCTGCTGGAGTACGCGTCGAGGGTCTCGTCCGACCTTGTGGCGGCAGATCGCGCCGCCCACAGCCCCGGTCTTGATATAACGGAGGGTCCGGCCAGGGATGACGGCAGCAGCCGCGGCAGCGGCAGCGGCAGCAGCAGCGGCAGCAGCAGCGGCAGCAGCAGCGGCAGCAGCGGCGGCAGCGGCGGCAGCGGCGTTGGTGGAGTCGGCGCCGACAGAGGGGCCGCTGAGGTGACATTGTCATCGGGCTGGGAGCGCGACGGCGTCCTCGCCGCCAGCCTCGTATTCCTGCTGCCGCTGCTGCCCGTCGCGCTGCGCTCCGCCGCGCCCGCCGGCGCGCCGGGCGCCGCGCCGCGGCGCCTCGAGGCGGCGGCTGGCGCGGCGCTGCCACTGGTGCTGCTCGCGGTTTCGCATCCGGCGCCAGAGGTCGCGCTGCCCGCCCACACCGCCTTCGCCTCCATCGCCGCCGCCTGCGGCGAGCGCGGCGCGCGGGGTCTCGTGCAGCAGGCGGCGCCCGCGTACGTGCGGCGCGGCGCGGGGGCGCTGCCGGGCGGGGGCAGCTTCGAGGGGCTGCGGCTGGGGCTGCATTTCCTGTGGCGAGAGCTGCCGCCAGCCAGCGGCGCTGCAGTGCTTGCGGTCCGGCGGCTGGCGCAGCGCGCGGGGGCGCTCGTGGGCGAGGCCGAGCGGCGGCGGCAAGTGCAGCGGGTGCCGCAGGCAGCATTGAAACCGCACCGTCAGCAGCAGCAGCACCAGCAAGGCCAGCAGCAGCAGGAGGGGCAGCAGCAGCAGCAAGGGCAGCAGCAGCAGCAGAGGCAGGAGCAGCAGGAGGGGCAGCAGCAGGGCCAGGATGATCACACAACTTCGCTCGACGCCGGAGCCGCGCAGCTGTTTGCATTGCTGGTGCAGGGGCTGCAGGCCCTGGACTATCAGCAGCTGCCCGCGGCGCTGTCCGAGGTGGACTCGCTGCTGCAGTCCGCGCCGCGCGCCGCAGCCAGGGCCTGGCTCGCCGACGCGCAGGCCTCGCTGCTGGCCGGGCAGAACGTGGTGCTGAAGCCGCGCCTGCTGGCGTGGCTGCAGGGCGCCGCTGTGCGGGCGGCGGGGCCGGGCGCCGCGCGGTCAAAGCTGTGATCTGGGCGGTGGCGTCCAAGGCAAGGGGCGATTGTCGATGGCCAACTGTTGTCCCCCATCTGCGCGTCCCTGCGCGCCTCGTCGCACGCGCTTTTGCTGTGAGATGTGAATCTGGGATATTGTCGTCGGCCGCCTGCCCAGCATGATGGCTGTTTCATGACCCGCGCCTCACAACACCCTGTCTGCAACGGCAAGCATATCTTGTCTTGTGATCGTAACATACACAATCGTGGATTGCACGACACTGCCGCGCAAAATCTGAAGAGTTGCAGCCACACAGGCCCATTAGTGCTGCCATTCTATCCAAAATACGAAACATCAATGGGAAACCAGGCACAAATTGCAGAAAAGTCCTCAGGCAAACCTCAGCGACCGCATCAGTCACCCCTCATAAGTGCCCACCACAGCCGCCGCCCCGCCGCCGCCGCTGCCGCCGCCGGCCGCCTTTAACGCCGCGCCGGGCACGTAGACCATCAGATTGGGCGTCCCCGCCGCGCTGTCGCCGTACGTGACGGCCCCGCTGGTGGCGGACGCCTCCAGGGCGGCCTTGACCTGTGCGGGCGAGGCCGTCGGGTTCTTTTCGAGGTACAGCGCCGCCCAGCCGGCCACGTGGGGCACCTGTGGGGGTGCGGTTTCAGGGTGGCGTGTGGCGCGCACGATTGGGAGGCGGCAGGGTGGCAACAATTGAAAGGGGAGGGGGGTGTTCGGGCGTGCAAGGACGGAGGGCCGGCGCAGGCGACAAGGCGTGCTGCAGACCACGCGAGCGGCCGACACGAGCCGTGTGGTCTCTTTGCGGGCGTGCGAGCGGCCGTGGCTACGGGCCCTGATTGGCAGGGCAGCAAGCGCCTACCGCCATGCTGGTGCCTGAAGCCCAGGTGTAGGTGCCGTCTGTCGCGTGCCCGCAGCGCGCGTCGCTGGCGCAGGCCGCAAAGATGTCAACCCCTGGAGCCAGGATATCCACGCTGTTGTGCGGACGTGAGTGGATTGTGTTATGATTAGGGAGGGAGAGAGAGAGAGAGAGAGAGAGAGAGAGAGAGAGGGAGAGGGAGAGGGAGAGGGAG